CGAGATTCCTTCCCGCTGCGCGTTTCCAAGGCGCCGGGCAGAGAGTCCACGGTCTCCCCCGACGGTCTCCGCAGATCCCCGGGCGGGCCCACCCCGTGGCCTGACTGCCGGCGGGCGCGCTGTAGGGTTTCCGTGTGCCCTGGGCTGGAATGCTGGCCTGCGAGCGGGCGGGGCGGGGAGGGCACTTAATTATTCTAAAAGCTCCGCGCCTGTGACTGCCCATTCCGGCTGATAAATTACGTGCTCTGTGCGGCGTCTGGCGTGTCGATACAGTTCCTCAGCGTAAGAACATCTGCAAGGGATTCGCTCTGTTTTTTATTTTACTTTTCCACTTTATCGCCACTGCCCTCGAGTTGACTCTGACTTCCTGTGACCCCGTGGGCCAGGGTAGGACCGTCCCTTCGAGGTTCCGGGGATTATAAATCTTCACCGGACCGGAAGTCATCTTTCTGCCTCTAGAGGGTTCCAATCGCTGACCTTGTGGTTAGCATTCCATTGCTGGCGAGTTCGAACCGCTGACCTTGTGGTTAGCAATCCAACGCTTAACCCCTAGGCTTCATATAATACGAAGCTAATGCCTTGCTTTCTCTTTCAAACTCCCAACCTCATCTATCAGAACGCATGGGGAGGCCCTCTCCTGGCCTCACAGAGCTCAGATGGGCACTGTGCTCCCGTGCATTGCCCTTCCCGTTTATCTGCACCGGAGCTTTGGGATACAAATAGTTCCAGTGTGTTGTAGCCTCCATATGGAGCGTGGCACATTCTGTGCGGTGTTCAGATGGTCTCTGTGACTGGGCTTTGGTGGCTCTCTGTCACTGAATAATACCGATCCACTGTGGAGGGCAAACAGAGCACTTGCCCAAGGTCACAAAGTCAGTCAACAAAGCACCTGAAGTGTGGTACATGAAGCAGACTGTTGTCAGGTGCCTTTGAGTTGGTTCTGATTCAGCGACCCTGTGCTAAACACTGTGCCAGCCTCACAACTGTTGCTAAGCTGAAGCACATTATTGCAGCCACTGAGTCAATCCATCTCCTGGAGGGCCTAAAAGCTCTCCATCAACAGCAATAATAAAGATAATGGGTGAGAACCTAGTCATGCTTTCTCCGTGTTTCATTAAGCCCTGCTAAGCCGGGCCTACTGCCAAGCCCACCGCTCTGTGGTGGCAGCCTTTTGCAAATCACAGCCCGATGTCAGAAAATCATTGATTTCTGTGGTTGTAGGCGATGGAGTTGTCACCCTGAATGACAACTCTGACGGTTGATGGCTTTTTGTCAACTTGGTAGGGCCAGGATTCTCAGTGGTTTGGCGGTTAAAATGTAGTGATCCCTCAGGATGAGATTTAACACAATGTAATCACTTCCAGGATGAGATCTGATTCTGGGAGTCTTCAGCAGCCTGGCATTTTATCGGCTGACCTTGGATTCATTCGGCTGTGCAGCCAGAACCCGCCACCTGCCCTGCCCATTGGGTTCGTCATCTGCTGAAGCTCCATGTGTGATTCAGGAGAAGCCTCCCGCCTGACATCCCACCCACATCTTGGCAGTTGCCCACCCGACCAACAGCTATGCGAACGTGCCCTTATGGGAATCTCTCTGTGTACATACAGATAGGCATAAACTTCGCGGCTTCTGCTTTTCTGGAGAACCCCACCTAAGGCAACAACGGTTCCAGAACAAAACCACAAGACCAAATTGTATTTGTGGATAAATATATTAGCAAATAAATACATTTCTCAACGTAGTGCCTGATTCAAGCGTCTTTCTGTCTGGTTCAGATATAAATACCCATGTGGGTGCCTAGGTGCTAGTCTCCCCACTGACTCGGAGGAAAGAACGTTCCCAGGTGGGGGGCCTTGTGCCCACTATGCCCCCACATTCACATTCCAAATGGGATAATGCCTGAGGGGCCAGCAATGACCAGGCTGCCCTGGAGTGAATGTCACCCTCGGGAGGCCTCTCAGTCCTTGCCCACTCGGCTACCAGCTGCCCAGGCCAGACTTTGTGCTCCACCTCCACTCTTGTACGCACCTGCTCCCTGAAGGTCCCTACCTGTATGGCTTATACCAGGGAGCTAGGCCTCTGGCCCTCCAAGCCCCGGGGCCACAGTTGGCTTTTACTTGGCTCACCCCTGTTCCCCATCCCTACTCAGAGAAGAAGCATCCCTGCCTGTCTGTCCTGCTCAGCTGTGCATCTGCCTCTTCCACCCTCATTCCAGCCTCTCCGTTCCCAGGTGAAGCCCTGCTCAAGTCCTCCACTGTCCGCCTGCTTTGGGACTTTGAGACGAGAGCTCTCCAAGGACAGTCATTCCCCTCCTACCCCAGCCCCAGCAGTGGTCCCCAGAGGGATTGGAGCCGCAAGGGTGACAAGGAGTCTGAAGATCAGAGACTGTCATCCCAGCTTCCCCAAGATGCTGTACCCACCTCGGGGACAGCACAGCACACGCTGGCTCCCCGTGACTTAATACAGCAACTGTCAATTTGAGAACAGGGGGGACACTTTCCTCCCTTAGGCACCAGGGAGGCGCTGCCTCGGGAGCTTCAGAGACCCCGCTTTTCAGGGCTCAAGGCTCACCTCTGCTCTTGGTCCTTTTCAAAGAAGGAAAAACGACAGGGCTGTCCCTGATGCAGTTCAAGTGAGGACGAGGACCAGGGCTGGAGCCCCCGCTCATCAGCAGAAGGGCGGGAGAAAGGGTCAACAGCAGCCAGCTGAAGCCACTGGTTGTCCGGACAGGACTGTGGGATGATGGGGACCCCGTGGGGCTGAGGCAGGTAGCAGCACCTCTAACACCCTCGCTTTCCATCTCTAGCTTCCTGCGTTCAAAGACACATACCCTGCCTGGGAGCTAGCCGCCCCCCACTCCCCCCACCCCACATACACACAAGCAGTGCTGGACTCACACTTCACTGCTCTGGAGATGTGTCCTGTAGATAAGAGGGGAGCCCTGCTCCAAGGCTGGGAGCAGGGAACATCACCTCCCGCCACCCACCGTAACCACGCCTCTTCCACTGTGCCAGGAAGTACAGCAAAAGAGGGGGGCTGGCTGGCTGAGGTCCCTTCTTCTCCCGGGAACAGGATTCTGCCTGGGGGGGCCCAGAGTCATCCAAAGTCCAGTCTTGATTGGAGCCAGGTCTGAAAGACTCACACGGCCTGTTCACACAGCTCCTCCTCTGAGCCTGCAGCAGGGAGAGGGGAGGAAAGTGGGCACGAGGCTCAGGCCAGGCTCCGGCTGCTTTCACCTGTGGGAGCGCAAGGCTGGGAGGGGCCCCAGAGAGGGAAGGGGAGATCAGACTGAAGGATGAGAGGAGCCCCCAATAAACTCACTCACTCACTGATTCACTGCCATCGAGTCAATTCTGATGAGCAGAGTAGAACTGCCCGCGTGGGTTTCTCAAGCTGGACATCTTTATGGGAACAGAAAGCCTCATCTTTCTCCTGAGGAGCACGTGGTGGGTTCGAATTGCTGACCTTACCGTCAGCAGTCTAATGCATAACCCACTACACCACATATGGGTCAAAAAATGATCTAGAGAAAGGGAAACACACACAGCAACCGGCGTGTACCTACCCTGTGCTGTATCATCCAGGAACTATTTAATGAGCACTCATGTGACTCTAGCCTGTTACCCAAAGCATGCCATTGCCATCAGAATCGGCTCCCAGGTGCGAAACAAGTCCAAAAGGGAGAAGTCAGGAGCTTGTTGGACAGAAAGTGTGCACACAAATCATTCGTATGCCAGGAGGGCAGGACCAGGGCCCCGAGAGAACTCCTGAGGAAGGGGAGAGATCATATCTAACTAATCCGGAAGCCTTCCTGGAATTGAGGATAAGTGAGTTGGCCGTGCAGAAGTAGGTAAGATTTGGATTTATGGGACTCAGAGAGAGCTGCAGGCTATTCTGAGCCACACGAGCTGCCAGGAGAGTTTCCTGGTTTGGTAAAAGGACAGGGTTGGGTAAGGGAAGGGGACTAGTAGGCAGCAAGGTTGAGGAGGGAGGTTGGCGCTAACTGGCACGGGGCCTTGAAGGTCAAACCAGGCTGGATTTTCCATACTGTGGTGGCCTGATGGGCTACATGTTAGGCTGCTCAGCACAAGGTCCGCAGTTCAAAACCATCAGCATCTCTGCTGGGGAAAGATGAGGCCGTCTATTTCCGTGAAGGGGACAGTCTCAGAAACCCCTGGGAGCAGTTCTGCTCTGTACGGAGCCGCTGTCTTGGGTTTGTGTTTTGGTTTTGGTGGACAGGACAGTTCAAGTGGGGCTCTCCAGACAGTCACCGGGGAGGAAGGGGACAGCGTGGAGAACAGGGGGGCAGAGTAGCTCCACTGCGCAACTTTCTGGTCACAAAACCTGAACGCAGTCCCCAACCTACATGCCCTATTGAAGGCAGGGAACAGATAGGTGGTGGCTGAATTTTTTTCCACAATTCACTTAAGACATTGGCCAAGAGCCCTGGTGGCACAGTGGATCGTGCCCTGGGTCGCTAACCGCAAGATCAGATGTTCGAACCCACCCGTAGCTCCACGGGCTGGGGGAGGGGGGGGGATGAAGCTGTCTGCTCCTGTCAAGTTTAGTCTTGGAAACCCGAGGGGGCAGTGCAGAGTCACTAAGAGTCGCAATCGGCTTGATGGCCGTGGGAAGACACTAGCAGAGGCCCTGAGTGCTGGGCTACAGGAGACGATGGCAGGGATCGAGTTGAGCAGATACAGTTCACAGAACCTGGTACTGATTGGATGTAAGGAGCAGGGCAAAGGCAGCACTGGAATGAGAGATTGAGCGAGAGGGAGGCTTCCCGGCCTTCTAGGTGTTTGAGCTAATCTTGAGCTGAACACAGGGGTATGGCTGTACCAATGGCCCAAGTGTGGGCATGCTTTCATTTGAGCTGTGGTCCCAACCATCCCACATGCCTCTCTGAAGCCCCAGCCTGTACCTCCCTGGGGTCCCCTGATGACTGAGCAGCCTGACAGAGCTGGGGAGCAGTTGTTCGAGAATATGCATGTCACCCCTACTGGATCCTTCTTACCTTGTCAACCCCCTGTTGGTCGACGTCCCCTGTCCTACAGCATGCAGCTTCCCTGAGTCTCCTCTCCCCCACCACACCTACTGCCTATAGAAACTCACCAGGCTGGGCTGGCAGCACCTGGCAGTGTGGGTATGGGCATGGCGTGCCCTCTGCGGTGTCAGGACTCCATGCGGAAGGCCCCTCCTCAGGTGGGTGTGGTCCCAGAGGCTGGTGTGGAGTCAGACACAACCACACTGGTTGTGAGCTTGAGCCACAGGGCCCGGGGGGTTCTGACAGAAGCCGCCTGTCCAGGCCCGAAGGTCCCAAGATCAATGGGTGGGCCTCTGGGGACCACGGGCACGGCAGGCTGGGGCCATGGTGGGGAAAGACTTGACAGGCTGGGTGTGCAGTCAAGTCCTGGGGTTCTGAGGGGCCCCCCCGCCGCTTCCTTTGTGGGTGCCGCGGTGAGACGCTGGGTTTCTGCAAGCTGAAAAGGCTGCGGGGCGGGCGGCTGGAACTGGAGGTTTTAGCCAGGCCGGGCGCCGGCTCTGTGGGGGCCTTCGGCCCTTGTGGGTTGGGGAGTTGCCCTGAAGGGGCTAGTGACTTGGATCTGGCGGACTGGTCATCGGGAGAAGGTGGCGCTGGTGGGGGCTGTGTCCGTGGAGCACCAGGCCTGGGCTGGGCGGCCCTGGTTTCTGGGCCAGACTTCCTGCCATGCCACTGGAATCGCTTCTTGTAGTGGTGGTGCCGGTGCCGGTGGAAATGGACATGGCTGGAGGCCTGTGTTTCCCCTGGGGGCACCACTGAGTCCAAGGACCGGGGCCGAGAGGTGACGCTGACGTGTGTCTCTTCCCCCGGGGGCTCCCCGTCAGGGCTGCAGTAGACCAAGGGGTCGAAGTCACTGCTCAGGGAGCTACGGAAGGTGGAGCTGCTGCCGTGGGTGCCCTGCAGGCTGACGTCTGTGCAGTTGACCACCGAGTCGCTGGAGGAGCCGTGGCAGGGCCCCGAGCTGGAGTCACTGGCCGGCCCGTCAGCCAGGTAGCCGCTGCGTTCCGTGCGGTAGCTCTCTCCAGACCCGCTGCTGTCATGGGGCCGGGCCCGGCGCGGGGGCACTGGGCAGGCAGCCGGGTGCTTCGAGGAGCATCTGAGCCGGCCGAGCCCCCAGTGCTCTGCGGAGGGCAGCTGGGCCATCGCCTGGTGCTGCGACTCGCCCGGAGGAGGCCGGGGGGCCGCCCCCCTGGGGAGGCGGTGGTGATGGTGCCGAGGCCCAGGGCCTGGCTCCTGGGCGGGCCGGAGGGGGCTAGGTCTAGGTCGCGGGGGCTGAGCCGCCGCCGCAGAGCTTCTCGAAGGGCCCAGCAGGTAGGCCGCAGGGAAGTGATAGTGCGCGTGGCCAGGGTGCTGACGAATGAGGTGGAGTCGCTGGCCTGGCTCCTGATAGACTCGGGAGGGGCCCAAGGCCTGGGAAAATGCGTCGCTTTCTGGAAAAAAAGTTCCAAGCGCAGGCTGTAGGCTGCCCCCAGCCCGTGGCTGACTCTGGGGACGCGTGGCTGCAGGGGACCTAGCCTACCCTGCATGGCCTAGGAGGTCTGTCCACATTGAGGGGACCGCACCTACACATGCCCTGGGCCTCCCTTCCCGCAGCCACGTCCTGGGAGTGCCAGGCTAGGGGCCAATGTCCGCCCGCCACCAGACCTCGGGCCCTGCCCTGCTAGACAACCCTGGCCCTTTGGGTGACTCAGGAGGAGCGTCTCTCTCCTTCTGCCTTCAAGAAAGTGCTCACGGGACCTTACGGCCGGCCGGAAAACTGGAGTCGGAAGCAAATGTCCCACGGTTCGAATCCATAGAAATACAAATCATGTCTAAAATACGACAGATGTCTCCGATGTGCCTGGCCCTCCCTCTCAGATAAGGGCCTTTCAAGCAGTGCACAACCTGACTCATTCTAGTGGCGGGCCACTCCCCCCAGAGCAGCCCCGTCCTCCACCCCTCTGCCGGTCCACAGGGGAGCCCGCGGCCCACCTCCTACCTACGATGTTGAACATGCAGAGAGGGCAAGTCCGATGCTGATGTAGCCAGGGGTCCACGCAGGTGCGGTGGAACTCGTGCAGGCAAGAGATGACTCGTAGCTCCTGGAGGAAACAAGGGGCTCGAATCAGAGCCGGCTGTGACGACCAGAGGGGCCGGGAATGGAGGTACGCCCCTGGCACCCTCCGGCTTCCACTTGGAGAAGACCTCCTGGTGGACTAGAAAGGGTAAGGCAGGCTTTGGTATCAGGTAGGTCTACCTTTTGTCAGTTAGCTATTTGACCTTGGACAAGTGTCTTGACAGACCGATTTGCAGTCGGAAAACCAAGGATAAAAAACCAAATCTCCCCGACCCCCTCCCCGTCACGAGGCCAACAGGAGTTAGTGACCCTAAAGCACCCACCGCAGAGCCTGCCCAGGGTACGTGCTCCACAAGCATCAGCTCTCTGCCTCTAGAGTGGCAGGGCAATTGCCAAGCCTCGGCCTCTTCCGGACGTCTGCCCCATGCAAGACGCAGGGGACACAGAAGTGCCCATGACAACCACGCCACATCCCTCCCAAAGCCTCCCTCCCCCGCCACAAGCTCTGCCTTACCTGCCCCTCAGAGAACTCCTCCAGGCAGATGGCACACATGGGCGCCGAGCTGCAGCTGCTCCCTGAGTCTGCCCACTCAGCCCGGGCCCGCCTGCAGCTGGCCTGGTACCTCCTGGTGGCCAGCTGGCTGATGGCCCAGGCTGTTCGCTGCTGAAGGGGCTCCTGGGAAGAGGGTGGGACTCAGAATGGGGCAGAGCCTCTCCGCTGACCCTCCAAATGCAGCTTGAACGTGGTTCTCAGTCTCCATGTCCTTTTGGAGCACACACCTGGCTTTGCCAAGCCGGCCAAGACCTCCCAACCAGTCCCTGCTCACACCAGGGAGCTTTCTTGTCCTGGGGGTCGACGGGAGAAACTGTCCAGCAGCCTGCTTGACGTTAGTGACTTGGATGTCTAAGTCGGGCTGAACTTTCTTTCTTTCTTTTTTTTTGCCCTTCCAATCATATTATTGGGGGGCTCTTACAGCTCTTATAGCAATTCGTACATCCATTGTGTCGAGCACATTTGTACATATGTTGCCCTCATCCTTTTCAAAACATTTTCTATTTGAGCCCTTGGTATCAGCTCCTCATTTTTTCCCCCGCTCCCTCCCCCACTCCCTCACCCTCAGGAACCCTTGATAATTTACAAAGTATTATTATTGTCATGTCTTACACCAACTGCTGTCTCCCTTCACCCATGTTTCTGTTGTTTGTCCCCCCCCAGGGGGTTTATACATTGATCATTGTGATCAGTTCCCCCTTTCTCCCCCCACCTTCCCCCTACCTTCATGGTATCACTACTCCCATTATTGTTCCTGGGGAGGGTTATCTGTCCTGGATTCCGCGTGTCGAGAGCTCTTATCTGTACCAGTGTACATGCTCCAGCCCAGCCGGATTTGTAAGATAGAACTGAGGTCATGATACTGGGGGGAGGAAGCATTAACGAACTAGAGGAATGTTGGATGTTTTATCGGTGTTTTACTGCACCCTGGCTGGCTCATCCCTTCCTTGTGACCCTTCTGTAAGGCGATATCCAATTGTCTCCAGATGGGCTTGGGGTCTCCACTCCACCCTCCCCCTCATTCACATCAATAGGATTGTTTGTTTTCAGTCCAAACTTTCATTGTCCAAAACCAAAGTCCTGATTCCATGAACCTCTGACCGGACACCTGTCCTCCCTAATCTCCTGCCTCCTCACTCACGTCACTGCCCCTGCGGGTGTCTGAGACTGGAACTCTTCACAGGAATGGAACAGCTTCATCTTTCTCCTGTGGATCAGCTGGTGGTTTCGAACTGCTGACCCTGAGGTGAGCAGCCCAACACATAACCCACTATGCTACCGGGGCTCTGGCAATTCCATCCTTTCAACTGCTCGGACCAAAAATCTGGACGGCATCCTCTATTCCTTTCTCTCATACCCCGTTAGTAAAGATACCCAGAATCCACTTCTTGCCACCTTTACTACACCTGGCATCCGGGGGGCGCAGTGGGTTGCATGTTGGACTGCTAACTGGAAGGTCAACAGTTCGAATCAGCTGCTCCGTGGAAGAAAGAAGAGGCTTTCTGCTCCAGTAAAGATGCCTTGGACACGCAAAGGGGGCCGTTCTACTCTGTCCAATAGGGCCACTGTGAGGTGGGCTCCACCCGTTTCCTGGGTTTCCACCTTTGCCTTCCTGTAGCCCATTCTCACGACGGCCGCAAACGTGACCGTGGTCAGACTTACGGTAGGCCATTTCGTTCCTAGACACCAAACCTTCAGTGGCCCCCGTTTCACCCAGAGCAAAAAGTCCTGACAATGGCCCCAAGAGTCTGGATCAACTTGATCTCCATGTATTCTCTGCCTCATCTACTCCAGCCTCCCCATCACGGTACCCCCACCACACCCCTGCCTGCTGCTCCCGGCCCGGGGGCCTCGGCACGTACTGTGCCTGCTTCGCCTGCTTCCGCCCCAGAGATTGGCACAGATGATTCCAACATCTAATCGGAGTTTTCTGTCCCAGTGGTATCTTCTCAACGTGACCTTCCTTTTAAAAATGAACCCCTTCCCCCTGCGCTTCCTCTTCCCGTTTCTGCTTTCTCCCAGCACCTACCACTAGCGAAAAGACTAAATTAGAGGTGTGTGTGGGGAGGGGTGTTTCCAAGGGTTGGTGGAAAAATGGCATTGAAAGAGAACTGAATTTTCCCACAGGCTTTGCCAGGCTCCTTTAGTCTTGTATCCATCTTGCTTCGTGTCTGTCTCATCCTATCAGAATAAAAGCTCTTTGAGGGCAGGGCTTTTTATCCCTTTCATCACTGCAGCGCCCCTGCCTGGCAGGTAACAAGAGCTGGGTGTGTTGGGTGAATGACTGAGTTGCATGAATGGGCAGGCCCCTGGGGAGAGGCTACTGGACATCACCAGAGGGACATGAGGGTATTTGGAGGTAGACTGTTGGGCGGGCGTGAAGGTCCCTCCCTTCTGCACACCCTCGTTCTGCTCCCACCCTCCCATAGACACGCACGCACATGCCCATCTCCACCAGGGAGCCTGTGCTGCTCACCGGCCGGTTGGGGTGGGGGCGGCACCGGATGCGTAGAACGGAAGCCAGGATGACCACAAAGATGGTGCCCACCACTGTCAGAAGGATCCACACGTCATAATCCGGCTGGGAGGGGCAAGCAGAGAGGGAAAGGAGTCAGAGCCCTGGGGTGAGGTGGGGGGAGCTGAGCCCAGGTGGGAGGAAACACAGGAGACACACAGAGCGAGGGCCGCCGGATCTTCTGGGGTCTTCCAGCTGTGGAGCTGCAGTGGGGATGAACCTAGGGAAGGGCTTCATGGACCCTGGCTGCCCAAAAGCCCTCGGAGGAGAGGGGTCTCCCCATGTCAGCAGTGAGAAGCACTCGGAAATCTGGGTGCCGGAGAGGAAAGGGGAGGGACTCCTCTGCTGGCTGGAATCCCTGCTCGCCCCAGGTGTCTCAAGGCACACAGCTGGGTTTCTGAAAGAGCTCTCCCTCTCCCTCCCTAAGGACAAGAGGATTTCTAAAGTGTCCATCAGCTTTGGGTGAGGATGACCTTAGGGCACAGGTCGGGGTGAGGACGGCGGCACAGGGGCAGTGCTTACCCAGGCTGGGGGCTCCTTCAGCTCGATCCTCACGTGGGCCTTTCGGTTCTTGTACACAAACTCCATCAACTTCTCCGCGTCGCTGCCCCAGATCAACACCACCGGCCAAGTCAGTCCCAGGGGCTGCTGCAGCTGCAAAGGGGGCAGTGGCCCAAGGGGCTGCTGGGTCCCTACGCTTCCTTCCCCAGGAACCTCGCTTCCCTCCGCCCTAGCCCTCCGGAAACACCCTAAGGTCCCTGAGTACCTGCTGGGCAGCAGCTCGATCCTCAGTGATGTCAAACAGGACAGCGCTGGCTCCTCGCTCACCTGCCATCCGGGCCTGCAGGACACACAGCCAGGTTGGCTGGGGGCTGGGGAGGAGGCGGCTAATCCAGACCCTAGCCTCATCCCCACATGGGCCCGTCCTTGCCCGGGACTTTGCACACACAGGGACCCTGCACGCTTACGCGCGCGCGCGCACACACACACACACACACATGGGGTCAGTCAGTGGAACCAGGGTCTGCCTGCCCTGGTCCCTGAGCTTAACCAGGGCTCATTGCCTTGAAAGGCCTTTGTTTTGTAACGTGACAAACCCTGAGCAAGCGGTCACTGGGAGCCAGGGGGTGGACTAGACTCAAGAGACAAAGAAATTAAGAATAGTGCCTGTCCTCGGGGCTCCATTGGCCTACCTCAGCTAAGAAGTGTGAGACTAGAGGAAGGGACGGATGGAGCAGAGAGTGACCAGTCCCCCTGGGACAGGGAGCGGTGGAGATCCTTTTGAATAGAGCAGGGCTTTCCAAAGGCCAGCCCTGACTGACAGGAGGAGCCTGGGGGACACCCCTCAGCTTAGGTCAGGTTCCACGAGCCTGGGCCACACGGCTCTCCCAGGAGGCCTCAGAGGCAAAGCCCAGGCTCAGCCCAACTCATTGGCAGCCTCTTCCTGCACACTCTAGTTTGCCAACTCTTTCTCTGGCGCCAGTTCAGAGTAACTTAAAGGAGTCCGGGTCCGGGGCTTCACCATCTCCCTAAGGGGCTAGGAGCCCTGTCCCCCCCAGGGCTCAGACAGAGGGGCTCTCATTAGAGAACTGAGCGGCTTGGGGAGGCCGAATGCAGCCAACCGCAGGGCGGGGCAGACAGAGTCAGGAGAGAAGCCAGCCGGAATCTAGGGATAAGTGTTGGGGGACTAACAGACGGAGGAGATAAGAGCGAGGGTGGGGCGGAGGCCCTGTGGGCAACCACCAACAGACCAGCGGCTCCCTGCCCAGTGCCCGTCCCTCTGCCAGCCCCACTCCCGAGAGAGCAGGCTCCTCCTCTGGGAAAGGGCTCAGCCCTCAGGGCTGCCTCTGGGCCTTCCTGCAGGCAGTGAAGGAGTTAAGCCTGCTGCCTGGAGCCGGTGGCAGGCAGAGGAGCCAGGGCCGGCTTCACTCAAGCGCTCGGCTTTGATCTCAGCGTCCCAGGGAGAGCCTGTCGGGGCAGGCCGGGGAGCGGCTGCCGCTCCCTGGGGCGGGTGGTGGCCAGGGGCCCCTCAGAACCCACTGCCCGAAGGCAGGGGAGGGCGGTGGAGACCTTCTCGTGGGGCCAGAAAAGTAACTTTCTCCCAGCCTTTCCTGCCCCTGGGAGCTGGACTGGGGCTGCGACCTCCACCCGGCCAGGTGCAGCCGGGAGGCCAGGGCTCACCAGGCTGGTGGACTGGAAAGTCATAGAGCTGGGTGGACTAGAAGCGACACTGTGGTCACAACCTCCCCCCTCCCCCACATCACTTCCGCCTCCTAGGAAGCCTGTCCCCGCCCCCGCCCCCCCTCCCAGGCCACCCTGGGCAGCTAGAAACTTCTCCAGGGCATGCATGCGGAGCAGAAGCAGCGGGGAGAGAGGAGCGGACTCTAGCAGGGGACCTGGATGGGATGGCGGGAGAGGTCACGACAGCGGTCACTGAATTGGGTCTCCTGGGTCCCCAACTGCCAGGGGGACCCTCAGAACCCACTGCTCCAAGGCAGGGGAGCCCTGGGAGGGGGGTGGGATGGAGGCCTTCTAGTGGGACCCCTCTTTGGGACCCTTTTGGACCCCTCCCAGCCTTTCCTGTGCCCAGAACAAGGCCCTGGGTCCAGCCTGGGCGGGGAGGGCAGAAGGGGAGGGAAGAGCCTTCCTTCTCTGCAGTTTCTCCGTCACTGTGGCCCCTTGTCTTGGTGACGGATCGGGAGAGGAATAGTGGAGAGTCGTTACTGTGCCGTTCAAACGCCCCAGCCCATCCCAGCCCATAATGATCAAGTCGTAACTGTGATCAAAGGGCCAGCCACGGGGCAAGCAGGCCAGACTTTCAGGTAGTGCATTCCTGCAGCCAGAGTTCTGGGAACAACAAGTACAGTTTGGGGACCCATGGAACCCATCTGGGGCCATCGCACCTCCTGCTCACTGGCACCCAAAGAAGCAGGCGGGAGGGAAAGAAAGTGGCACTCCTCCAGGGTCTGGAATTGCCCAGATTGGAAGGCGGGGCGGTGGGCATGTTCCCTGAGCTGGAACTTCTGGAGCAGTAGACGGGAGATTCAAAGACCTCTTTTGGTGGGGCCTGTAGTCCGCCAGTCCTCTAGGGGCAGCAAACAAAGTTCTGGTAATGACTCACTACAGAGGGAGCGGGGAGGGTGAGCTGAAATCTGGCCTCCCACTCACTTGCTGGCCACACCGGTCAGCTGCTGCATCATGTAGTTTTCCCTCCCAGACCACAGTGATAGTCTACCTCTCCTGCTCATGAAAGATTTACTGAGCACCTCCCATACCCAGGCCGCCAAGCCAGGGAAGTCTAAGCTCCCTAGAATGTTCATACTCTAGTATATCATGTACACAGTATCCCAATAATGCCAACGAGATTCAATGGAACAGACAGAGTTTCCAAACCCCCCCTTCAGCTCAGAAAGCCCTTCTCTCCACTCTGCCCCTTCTCAGACATACTAAATTGGACACAAATCAGAGAGTAAACCCGAGAAGAGTGAGGCAGCTCAGGTTATAGTGCGGGAGGGGTTGGAGGGCTTCCTGCATCAGTAGAGAGCCTGGCTGCTGGGAGTGGGTCCAGAGGGAGGCACTGCTGCTCCTACTGCGCTGGCTGGGCTGGGCCAGTCCGAGAAGACTCAAGGTGGGAGATGGGGTCCATCAAGGTCTGACAAGGGGAGGACAGATTGTATTGCGATTCGCTTTGCCTAGATGGCCCGGCTTTGGATCCTGACTCCACGACCCATCGCCTAGCCACTCTGTTTCAGGTTTCCCTTTTTTATAACATGGGGACACACAATAGGATCTACTTCATAGAGTTGTTGAAAGGACTGCATAGATTAATCCAAGTAAAGTAATGCTTGCTTCACTGTCACTAAGTTGTATACCTGTAAAACATTTTTTGAATTGGTTTAAGTTGTGTGATAGATATATTTACAGGAGTTACTAAGGCTGATTATGTACACCCAAACCCTTCATGGGTTCCTTGATTTGGAAGATTAGGGTCATGGTTCTTGGCACAGCCCAGTTAATTGGCCAAATTAAGTGTTCAGTGTTTCTGTTCTACCTTGTACAGGGTATGGGGTCTCAAAAGTTTGCAAATAGCCAACCCAAGTAAGCAATTGGTCTCTATTCACTGAGAGCAGAGAAGAAGGGAAGTCAGGAGCAAGAGGAGGAAATGGAATGTGTGGCTAATTACCCCCACGAATAATCTGCTTCCTCTGCCTTGAGGCTGAGAGACCTGCGTGGAGTTTGGCTACTGTTACTGAGCATTTTGATCAAAGATTCTATAGAAGAATCCTGATCAAAAGGGGGGAAATGTAGAGCAGAATTTCAAACTTGTGTGGAATCCATACTTTCTGGAGCTATGGAGGTTGGATGAACTTCCAAAATTACTGACCTGAGATAATCATTAAACCTTACCCCCCAAAATATCCCTTGAAGTTTTCTCAAAAACAAACAGCCGTTTAGCTTAACGAGCAAAGACTTGAACAGTCTGCTCTTTTAAGAACTACCTATACGGGTCCAACCTGACAAAAGCAACTCAAAAAATTGGATCGGAGCCTCAGGAGCAGCGAGTTTACGCGAATGGTGGGGACCAACTCAGAAAAGGATGGGAGAGGGGTGCCTAACAGAAGAATATAAGTAATGGTACTGAGTCGTACTTGTAGAAACACGTAGAAAGGGAAGTGTGTTCTGCTGTACCTCTTCTTAACAAAAGTAAATGTTTTTTAGGTCACAGTGCTCGGCACAGAGCAAGTGTCGGTCACTACGAGGTCCATCAGCACCTGCCACGTGCTTCCCACACATGTGTTTCTGTGCTCCTCACAGCAACTGGACAAGATAGTTGTTTGTCCCTCTGGAGCTGCGCAAACTGATGCTCGGAGAGGCTAACTCACTCGTCCAGGGTCACCTGGCTGTTAACTGATGGAAGCAAAGTCCCCACCCAGGACATCGGCTTCCATTGTGCTTGCTCTTAACTTTTGGGAGGATCTCCAGGTCAGAGGTCAGACTCGTGCCCATCTGCTGGGCTCGGCTCCTTCCGACAGCAAACAGCCGAGTGCCCTCGTCCAATCGTGAAGTGATAAGGCCCTGCCTTATCACAAGGACGACCGTGGAGTGAGACTAAAGAAAGAGAACCCGATGTGGGCCGACTAACGGGGTGCTGATGACCAGAAAGAATGACAAGAATCTGAGGGAATCGTGAGGCTGGGTGGCAGAGAAGACCAAGGGTTGACAAACGTGGGCAGAGACAACGTCTCGTGGTAACGGGTGAGGATGTCAGAGTGACTGCTCCGAGCGGCACAGGTCAAGCAGCTCACACCTGCACGGTCTCATAAATCCTCCTTCCTCCACGTGACTCCCTTTACACAGGAGGGGATGGGAGCTCCGAGAGGCTCCTTAGCGTGTCCTCAGTCACACTGAATGCCGGTGGCAGAGCCAGGCCTCAGACCCAGGGCCGTGGGACTGGAGAGCCCTGGCTCTGTGAGTAGTGATGATCCCAGGACACCAGCAAAGGGCCGAACAGAGCAAGTTGGGAGTCAGGGTTAAATTTTTTCCCCACCTTTTCCTTCTACCTCTATGCTCCCTAGTTCAGTAAACTCCACTTACAATTCACTTTTTAATGAGATAATTTGTAATAACACCTTGAGCTGTTAGGAATCCCATCAAAAGCAATGATGGGTATATTCGTTAGGCCTGTGGCCTTCAGAAGGGAGAGAAAAATGAGGCTTTCTACTTCTGTAAAGAGTTACAGCCTCATAGAGCTCTAGATAAAGACATGTACATATACAAATATATTATATGAGGATGGGGACATAGATCTATGAGCCTACATTTATAGGTTTAGTATTAAGGTAGCAGAAGGACATTGGGCCTCCACTCAAGTACTCCCTCAACACAAGAATACTT